GAATGAGGGTTGCTTACAGAAATGACGCTGCAGTTCTCAGTGAAGGGAAAGAAACTTACAATGTCTACTACCTTTTGCATTGCTTTTTTGCTTTGTGACCTGTTGAAGGCAGATTCATCTCTGGCAGAAGCAGTCAGGCAGGCTTGCCACATTGCCTTGCCGAAACATGTGAAAGATGTGGTTTTGCAGTTGTTGGATGATGGACAGCGGCCTGTGCCTTCTCCAGCCACAGTCTCTAGACTACGTTTGAAAGTTGATGTTGCGTGGATGTTGCTGCAACGCAGGGATTTCCAGCAAGCTCTGAGTGACGGCTCTGGCATGGTTGCGCACTGCATGGTGGACTCAAGCCCCCCAAGGAGGCCATGACTATGAACTTCTGCATGTGACACTCGTTGGCAAGGGCGTGTTGGCTGAGCTGCATGTGGAGATTTGCAAGTTGGAGAGGATGAAGAGGCTTTCAATGGCAGAACGTGTGAATTTCACGCATGAAGAAAGGCGGATAATGATGAAGATCTATGAGTCCATTCACATGGTCACACCCCCCGCCTGTTCTTCTTGGCATGGGCAAAAGCAGGAGCAGTCTGGGCATGAAATTTCATGCAGCGATGCATGCGCTCTACCTTCTAGTAGGGCCTGCTACCAACCTTTCCAAATTTGTTGAGTGTATCTGGACTTGGGTTTCTGATTTGGGGACAGAGGCTGGCTTCTCACATGTGCGCAAGCTGAATTTCCGAGATTTGTTTCCATACATCATGGATTCAGAAGCAAGCGCTGATCCAAGGTGGCATGTGGAAGTAGATTTTGCAGATGCCGATGCTTCAACCAGGCCTGAGCCTGAGCCGTCCATAGGTTGTGAAGGCAGTGCAGCCATTCCAGGTTTGCTTCATATTTTGCACAACTGTTTTCTGGGTTTGGGTGGGGCCATGCGATATTTCCAAAGCATCATTTCACAGATGAAAGAAGTGGCGAAGCTGCTCAGCCAACCAGAAAGCAAGGAACGCTTGCTTGCAACGTGCTTCACTGGGCCATTGAATGAAGCTCTGGCAGCTGATGTCAGAGCATTTCAAGGGCACGTGTACGAAGATCGCTGGGGTACTGTTGCAGATTGTGTGCTGAAACTGCTTCCTTGTCAGGTGAGTCTGCAGCATGCTTGGGACCTGGACAAATTTGTGATGCACAGGGGAGGTGTGTCTGGTGGAAGTCGTGTGGGCAGCGTTGCTTTGGACGTTGCGCAGGATGCTATTACCAGTACCAAGTTCTGGGCATACCTGGAGATGCTGGCGTGTTTTGCTTCAATGCAGTCTCGGTTGAGTTCTTGGGTTGAAAGCTGCCCTTGCCACTGGGATGCCTTGCATAACAGTTCTGACGACACCCCAAAAGATCTCAAAGACTTATGGAAGGATTGCCCACTGAGAGGAAGAAGGGCTGCCGACATCTCGTCTGGAAAGCTTTTAGCGTTTGTGAAAGAGCTTCTTGCTGTTTCAGGGGCAACTCTTCTTTTGAAGATGCCAGCAAGCATTCCACATGAAGACAGGGCTGACATTGTCCATGATTTTGAGAATGGCAGGGCGCACGTGTTGCTGCAATTTGCTCTAAAAAATGAACCACTGGGGTGCTTACCCTTGGGCCGGCTATGCTTCTGCATGCTATGATGTTGACAAGAGCCCAGAGGTGTTGAGGGCAGCCTTGGCTTCTGAGTGTTCCCACCCCCAAATTGCAGCGCTCAGGGAATCAACCACCAAGGAAGAAATTGATGTTTTCCTAGAGGACCCTTCTGCTCTGTTTGAAAGTGAGGACCCGCATTTTCTGCCTAAATTGAGACAATGGTTTGCTTCTGTTCAAACAATCTGCATTGCTGAGCGTCGAATTGAAGGGAAGCACGCTGCTTCAAAAAAGGGAGTGACTCACGCTCCTCACCACAGCTGCCCTTATGTGTCTTTGCTCCACCGAGTTGGAGAAATCAAACGTTTTTTGGAGGATAATCCACAAGGAATCAAACTGTTGGCTTCTGAGCTTGCACAGGTGAGATCAGGTTTGGTGGCAGTGAAATTGTTGAATTTGGATTTGCACCCAGATGTTGGCTTGGCCAAGCATTACCGTGACCCAGTCTATGCTCGAGTCATTTACCACGCAGATACCCACGTGAAGTATTGCGTGGCTCAGCCGCTGCTGCCACTGGACAAACCGCCGCCGGCTGGGAACCAATCTCTACGGAGCTTGGAAACGAATGATTGCCAAGAGCGTCTTCGCCTTCTGTTTGCTCAGCGACATGTCAAAGCCCGATTCCAACAGATCCAGAATAGCGAGCAGGGGCCTGAGCCTGGGCAACATGATGATGTTTTTTTTTCAATTCGCATGGTGGATGGGGCTTTGCGAACCTTGAAAAGTTTGTTGCTCCCATCAAGCAAAGGCGGCATTGTCCCTGATGCGGCGCTGACCAACACTCCTTTTGGAGTGGACATGGAGGTGAGTGACAATGCGGAGGGCATGTTGACTACGATTGAATCAGGGCCGTCTCCATCTGTGCCACACAAAGTCCAGATGCTCGTTTTTTGCAAGTTGCTGCGCCAAAGTGAGCCAGCGCGTGCGCACAGGGAGAGGATTGCAGGAGAGCTGAGTTTGTCCAATTTGTTTCCTTTGACAACCCATGCAGTGTTGCGTGTAGATCAAGACCGCAAACAGATGTTTTTGTGCACAGCGCCGATGAATCTGATTTCCTTGTCTCCTGAGAATGTGCCGCTGATGTTGAACCCATTCAACCTTTCACTTCAAGAGCTGGAAGAGGTTCGCTTGTGGAAGCGCTCAGAGGGCCAACTTGCCTTCATGTTCCGATTTGAGTACCTGCACACCTTGCCTCCTGAGCTTCTGGAAGCAGTGCCTGGTCTTTTGAAGAAATTCATGGATCGACCAGGTGGCATCTTTCTTGGGAAGTTGTGTGGGGAAGTGAAGGCGCTGGTGGAACGTTTGAGAAGTGACGAGATTATTGAACAGGTTGATGAGGCATTAGGCTTTGGCTCTTGCATGTGGAAACTCAGCATGAAGGGGGCAGAGCTCGTAGAAACTTGTGTGGTTGTTGGTGGAGGGTGCAAGCTGCTTTGCAAGAGTGACCAAGAGTCACCACTCAGCATGACAACGTATGAAGTTGTTCTGGCGTTAGAAGCGGATGGCTTCAAACATGTGGTCCTTGGGAGCAAAGATGCAAAGAAAAAAGGCCAAGACATTTTACATGCCGGGTGACGCCAAAGAGTGGTACACAAAAGACAACGCAAAAACTGTTTCCCATTGGTACCTTTGTGCTTTGTGTCTGGCAGCTGACCATGGCAAGGCTGTGCCACGTCTAGCAGCAGACAGTGTCTACAAAGACATTTTGGGATTGGATGACAAGCCCAGGAGACAAGTGAAACAAAAGAAACTTTCAATCCAGGCAGAAAATTTTTTGGAGTTGGAGTCTGGACACCAGTTAGCAATTGAAGAATCTGTGACAGTTGACCAGACAAAGCGAAGGATGAAGCGCAGTGACAAGGTTCAGCTGACGGAAGCAGTCCATGAGGATGACCATATAGACGATTCTGTGGGCGAAGAGTTGTTGGCTGATCTTATGGATCTTGGGCAACTGAGTGAGGGTTCATCAGAATCGGAAGGCTCGCCTCCTGGTCAAGGTGGCCCTGCCCCACTTGCTGGTGATACATGTCCTGCCAGGACAAATTCAGACAGTGATTCCTCCAGCGACTCATCTTCAGATTCTTCAAGCAGTTCTTCAAGCACATCCTCTAATGAGGAGGAAAGGACAAATGGCAAGACCAATGAAGGTCACAGCAGTGGCAATGTTGAGGAAGCTGCTTCCTCTGCTGCTGCCAGGCGCAAACCGCATACTCATACCAAGGGCCGCTTCCAAGCTGAGAACTGGGGAGACTTCAAGCTCATCTATTTCGACCGAAAAGGTTCCACAGGATACCAGTTAACGTGCTTAAACCCATCGCACGCATCCCAAAGCCTTTGCACCAAGAGCAGATCCGACCGCTTTGAAGGATCCGAAAAGTGTGTGCGGATGCTGAAGCAGTGGGCTGTCCTTGGCAAAGATGTGAGCAGCAAAGAAGACCACCAGCAGCTTTGGCCTTCTGTGCTCGAAGCGGCCAAGAAGGATCAGCTCTTGACAGACGTTGAGTTGGAGTCTAGGAAATGTCTTGCTTGGGCCCAGAGCAGTTCTGCGCCCAGCTCTGCTGCCAATTCAGTCACTGGCAAAAGAAAGAGAGACAGACTTTGAGTTTTGCTTGATTGCTTCCATTGAAGGAGGCGAGTTCCGATTATTCTGATGCGTGTTTAGTGGCGCCAGGGGATGGACTGGAGATGGTAGTTCGAGACCTGCAGCAAGTAGAGAAAGAAAACCAGCTGGAGGCACTGGAGGCTGAAGGTTTGAAATCGCTCCTTTTTTTGTGTTTTTCGATGTTTTTTGCAAAAAAGCAGCCAACTATGAGAATTCCATCCTTCACAGACTGCCTCAAGACTGCCTCGAAACTGCCTCGAAATTGTGCGTTTTCCCTATTCTCCCTCGGAAGGAATTGCCTCGAAATTGTGTCGACACTTAGCAGGGGAGATAGGTTTCCTTTCCGTGTGAGCTTGTGGTTTCACAGCAAACATGTCAGCTGGCCATTGTGACGCCTATGTTTTCCAATGGTTTTCTGTCGTGAGGGAAGTGCGCCTCGAAACGCCTCGAAACTGCCTCGAAATTGATACTCTGACAACCTAGCATTTCTATGGTTTTTGTGTTCCTTGCCCAAGGTCATTGTCTCAAGTCTTTTCTTGTCTGTTTGGCACCAAAACCTTGCACCGTCTCAAATCTCAAACCGTTTTCGCTATTCTTGTAAATTTGGTCACTGGAGACTTCTATGAGGCTTGTTTCCTTTGAAGACTTTTGGGTTCGGAGTTCAGGCAGGTGTGATAGAGGAACCTCTTTACCTTTGTGTCAGTGTACACTGGTACATAGGGCGCAGTGCAGAGCCATGATGGAGATCACAGCTTCTGAGAAGCGTCCCGCTTGTCCTAAGTTGTTGGAGTGTGAGCCTGAGTCAAAATCTTTGAAAACAGGAAATCCAGGGAAGCCAAAGCTGACAAGAAAAGGTGGGATTGAGTTTCGAAACAATTCTTTCAACCTTCCTTGTGGGCCTCAGACTTTGACACAGCTCATGGACTGGCCAAAGTTCATTGTCAGCCAAGTCATTGCAGACCCTGGCAGAAAGACCAGGTTGTTTGATGTGATGAATCGTGGCATGACAGTCCACACTGCGTATTCCGGACTTGACGCGCCAAGAGAAGTCTTGTCACAGGTGACCAATGAGTTGCAAAGGAGCTTCAATCTGTGGACGCAGGTTGATTTCATTCATGCCTGTGACAACGCGTCTGGCCCACAGGCGGTATTGGTCAGCTTAGCAAAGCAGTTGGATTTGAGTTGTTCCTGTGTCTTCTCAGACATTGAGGACCGTTTGCCACTAGAAACGGTGGCAGAGTTGAATGCCCTGAACCCTGAGAAGGACATGTCCTATGAAGCCAAGGCAGCTGCTTACAAACAGATGTGGCAGCATTTGGATGACGACAGGAAGACAGTCTTCAACCCGTTTGCTACCTCCCAGTGCCTTGTCCACATGAGGCAGCGCCGCATTGTCGGTGATCGCGTAAGCTTCGACCCAGACTCCCAAGACACCCAGGAGATGTCTCCAGGACTGGCTGGCCACAGGCCTTTGAAAGTTCACTTCGCAGGAACTGTGTGCAAAGGCTGGAGCTGTGCTGGAAGCAGAGCGCAGTTCAGCCATGAATCGGAGCGAACGCACTCTGTTTGGTTGGCAGAAAGAAAAGCTAGAGCTGAACAGGGCCTGGAAGACATTTGCTTCCAGGAATGCACTCCAGCTTATGCAGTGCAAGAGAAGTTGAAGGTGCCTCTGGAAGACACGCATTCTGTTCATGCCTTGAAGACCTGCCCACAGCTGCAAGGCTGGCCTACTTCGAGGCCAAGGTCCTATACGGTTCTGCTCAACAAGAAGAGGTGGGGTGTTAGGGGGAATGGCTTGATCACGCCTGACCTGTGTCAATCTTTTCAATAATGGTTCTTTTCTGTGAGCAATAGAAGTAGAAGGTGTCAGCGACCACGTCAAGAAGTAGTTCCATTTTTTGCAAAGGAAATATTAGCTTTCCCAAGTCTGGCCTGCAGGTGGGTTTGGGTGGGCCCTTCTACAGACTTGGCGATCCAGCAAGAGTTCAATGAACTCTTTCAGAGGAGCACAGAGATGACCGGTGATGCTTTCTTTGTTGCCCCAGAGAGCCAAATCAGGGCAGACGTAGCCAGGCGATTGCAGAAGCGTGGGCAGAAGAGTGAGCTTTTGAAGCTGGACTTGAATATGGAGCTGTTGTATTCTATGCTACCACCAGGAGCAGGCCAGAGGCTTCAGCAGTATGAGCAACTGCGTGAAGAGAAGCAAGCGATTGAGACTGGAAGTTTCATTTGCGATGTCAACCAGTGGCCCCAAAGTGGATGTAGCACTTGTGGCCCCTTCTTTCCTTGCCAGTTGACTCACGCCACCTGTGTGTCATTGAACCACATGCGGCCAGCTGTTGGCCTGGAGTACTTGCTTGCCCAAGGTTTTCACACCTTTCCTGCTGTGCATGGAGGCAAGGCAGCCCTTGTGCTTCCAATCTTGGAAAGTTGGAAGACGGATCAGGTCATTGCTTTGTCTGGCAACAGCATGTCGCTGCCAGCCATTGGAGCTTGGGCGCTGTACGTGTTGGCAAACATCCAGCCAGTGCAGCAAATGACCATCCAACCTGAATTGAGCATGTTGACGAAAGGGACGAGTCAAGACTTCTCATCTCCAATGAGGCTTCGGAAGTCAACTCCCAAGACGGTTTTCACAGTGTCAGACGATCAGGATGAAACTGATTCTTGCCCGCGAGATTTGCCAGATTGCGCGGATATGTTTCCAGGTTCAGGTTTTGATGTTGACTTAGCTCCATCTGTGCCAGCTTCCTGGACTCTTGATCTGCCCTTGGAATCTTCATTGTCTTCATAGTACATAGCCTGCCTAGTGACATGGCTTTTGTTGGTACTATCCTCAGGATACTACGCGTTGTTGCTGGGGAGGGGTCCCAGCTGTTCTGGGTGCAGCTTGCAGCCTGCAGCAGTCGCCGTGCTGAGTTGGGGGAGGGTTGTTGGCAGCCACCTGGACACCTTTGTGGCCACCGCCAGGGAAAAGTCGAAGCGCGCACAGCTGTAGCTTCTGTTGTTCCTTTCATCTAGTGTAGGGTTGGTGACTGGAGAGATTGATGTTTTCCAGATGTTCTGTAGAGTTGGGTTGGGCGACGCAATAGTTTGTGATCCCTGCGCACTTGTGTTTCTACCAGACAGTTAGTGACAAAGCCGCACTCTTGCTGACCAAGTTGACCTTGTAGCAAGACTGCATAGCGAAAGAAATCAAGATGCTGGGTTTTTGCTTCAAGTTTCTGTCTTGAATTTTGTGCCTGGTTTTTCTTGGCTCACATGTTTTTCTAAAATGTAGGAAAGGCGCCTGGTCCTAGAGAGTAGCTAGAGAGCAGCGGCAAAGACTGTGCACTTCAGGTGAAGCTGCGAAGCCATGGACGAAAAGACCTTTGGCACAGTCCAGACCCCTGCTGGCAAAGGAAAGGCTAAAGCCAAAGCCAAGGCCAATGGCAATGGCAATGGAAGCACAAAGAAAACAGGGAATGGAAGCAGGCCAGCCAAGCTGCCTTGCTTGAATTGCCCAGAGATGCGACACGCAAACAGCCGGTGGTGTAAGTTGCACAAGCGAGCGTATGACAGCATGGCTTACCAAGCTAAGGTTGCTGAAAAGAATGGACGCACAGACGCTCAAGCAGCCTTTACAGCAGCAATGTCTGATGACATTTCTGCTAAGAATGAGATTGCCAAGTTTTGTGAACTGAACCCTCCAGATCAGCGGTATGCCAGGAAGCAGTTCATTGATTGGGCTGCATTCAAAACTCTCCATGGCCAAAAGACCGAGATCATTGACCGTTCCAAGTGCGCACCAATGTGGGAGGGAGAATTCATAGCCTGGGTTAAGAATGTGAAAGCGCTCCCTGAAGCTGAAGCCCAGGCTTGGTGGAAGGAGCACTTGAGCAATCCCAGGATTGACAGGGATCATGATGGCTACAAGGGCAGATTGCAGCTGTGGATCCCAAAGGGCATCAGCAAAATCACAGACAAGAGCAAATACACTGAGAGTTTTTCGGAACAGGGAAACAAGCCGTTGAAGGACCCGAAGGAAACGGACATTGACATGTTGAAGGAACATGTGTTGAGGCAGCAGCACAGTGTGGTTGATCCCTTTTTTTATGCGAACCTCCCTGCCAGCGCATCACAGTCTGTGCGGCCTAAGATGTCTGAAGGTGATGGGGGTCTGGAAGAGGAGCCTGCCCCCCAAGCGTTTCAAAGTTGATGTTGACCGTGCTGGGCCCAAGCTAGTGAAAACCATGGAGAAGGACATGAAGGCCATCTGCAAAACGTTCCAGACAGCAACAGACAAGTGCGAGCAAGCAAAGAGCAAGTTGGAAAGCTTCCCCAGAGAGATGCTTTTGGATGACCTTGCTCTGTTGGGGTTACTGCGGTCTCTGGATCTGAGGGTTCATTTTTTGCAGCGTTTTGTGGACAACGAGTCTGAGACGACTCAGGCATCTATGGTTGGTATTGTGAATGGCCTTTTGCATGGGGGGGAAGACGGCAGCTGATGGGTCTACCACTGAAGACTTGACAAGCAAGCTCTCCAAGACTGCGCAAGAGGCTTTGTCCACTGGCATGCAAGATTTTGAGAAGATGAAGACAATGGGGGCTATGGATATCATCAATGAGTTCCAAGCCAGACTCCCCTTCAAAGAGTCTGACACCTTCTTGGATGAAGGGAAGCTGCGTGCAAAGATCGATGAGGCCTTGCGGCTGCAAAAGGTTGAGGACTATGAAGCATTGAAGGGAGAGTGGCAAGTGGTGTCTGCAAGTGCCACCAGTGTAGGCACTTCCATGGCCAAAGTTGCTGGTGACATAGCTGAACACTTGGACACCAAAGTTCGTGAAGCCAAGAGGCAGAAGACGCGCAATGCCACTGCTGAGAGAGCTCAAGCTTTGAAGGCTATCAGAGACCAGGCAAAAAAGGCAGCCGAAGAGCTCAAGGCAAAGCCCAAGACTGCAGCGGTGGCACCAGTCTTTGGGTTGGACCCTGACACTAAAAAGGACAACATGGAGGCAGTGCCAGTTCTCGATGGCGCAGACAAGATCAAGTCATGGTCCACGCCATGGGTTGTGAAAGACTGGGAGCACGCCAAGGCCTGTTTGAGCGACAGTGCGTTGAAGAAGTCTTTAGAGACGTTCGCAGCGCAGTACAGGAAGCTGGTCGGTGAGGGTGGCAGGCACCAGTATGCTTTGCAGGCTGGTGCTGTCAAGGCAGAAGTGGACAAAGTGCTGCAGCTTGCAATGCCATCCCAAGATGGTTTCCTTGACTTGGAGGCTGAAGATATAGATGGGGGAGGTAAGTTTATGGCAGCCACATGGCTGTACGGTTTTGGTCCAGACATGAGCTTCTGCAACCTCATGCCCAATGCAGCCTCCCAAATCAGGGTGCATGTCAGAGGGGAGGTCAACATGATGATGTTTGACTGGCACAGCTTTTGCGAGAAGATGCAGGTGGCAAGTGAACCCTTCTCCTGTGCACTGGCCTTGGTGAGCAGCCTCACTGACGATAAGCTGAAAGAATGCAAAAGCAAAGGCGTGCAGATGTGGGAGCATACATTGGTTGCTAATGAGCTGCTGTATCTACCGGTTGGTTGCGTCGCTGTTGAGACTTGTTGCTCTGGCTCTACTGAGGTCTATGGAATCCGAAAGTCGTTCTTTCCCACAGGTGACCAGCGCATAGTTGACAACTACAAAACTGTGTTGCTGCAGTTTGGGAAGGACAAGCGCTCCGTGGGCGCAATGGAAAGTGTCTCAGCCGCTCTGGACAGGGCTTTGAAGAAGCAGAGCGCCTAAACGGTGCAGGGGTGTTGACTGCTCAGCTGCCAAGACCAACTTGGAGACTTCATCTTTCAAGGTTGGGGAGGGGTTCAACCTCAGCCTTGACGTTGCTGTCCACCCAAGCTGACAGTCATGGGCGTGGCCATTTTGGCCAAAGGACTTTGGCTTGACGGGGTGAAGGCCAAAGACTTGCTTTTGCGCTTGCGAGCCAGCTGCTCCATGCCGCGAGTGTTAGTCATTTTCACTAACTACTGAGCTTTTTGTTGCGGCGTCGTGCCATCGTGATAGTCAACCAAGTTGAATTGGTGTCTTCA